ATAACACGCACACACACGTGTACACACACACACACACACACACATATATATATATATATAATATTGCATACATAACATACATACATACATACATACATGAAAAACATACATAATTACAAGGGCAAACAATGTTCTCTGTAAGCGTGTACACTCTCATACCGTATATCCCTCATCTGTGAGAATTTTCTGTCCATTGACGTGCAAGTTCTCCAACATAAGAATATTGATCTTGCTTTTAGGGTAGGAGGTGAGTTTAGGGGAGGAAGTCATCTTGTGTATATTAAAAAGTAAATTGACTTTTAAGCCTGACGTAAAATAATGCAGAGCGTTAGCGGATAGTTCCGTATATATGTACGTGTGTCTAAGATCATTTCGATTTCGTCGGCAGGGGATACAAACAAGAGGCTATGAATAAATACAGTTACGTCTATAGTTCGTCGGTCACCGTCTATAGTCCATCCTATTTGACGTCAACCACCAAAATTATAGGACAAGGAACTTGTAAGTCTATGAAGTTGCCAAATACGTTTGGGGCGGGGATGTCGGGGAATCCGGGGTCGACCGAGGATAACAAGAAGTTTATAAATAATAACACTGTGGACTCGGAGTAGCCGGCTAGACTAGCAGTCGGTAGCCCGGCAGATGTCAAGGACTCATGTAACATGTACATTGTGATTGTACCATATGAGTTTATAGTTTTATTTAGTTAAAATTAAAAACAGCTTTTATTCCTGGTTCTAAATAATTTCCAATACAATCAGATATAGTACAAAATGTTGATATAGCTTTTTTACGACAGTCAGTATGTATTGTTTAACTGTGTTGTAAATATCCGCAAAGGGAAAAAAAATCTGAATATCATACTATCAATTTTTAAGACTCTATAGAAAAAAAAACAGAATCAGACATTTACTGACTTTGATTGGCTAAACTGCGCCGAAATTTTAACAGTTTCAAACGTTTTAGACCAATCATATACATGAAAGTTGACATGTTCACGTGTCGCTTTTTTCATCGCACCCGCTAAATAAAAGGGTCATGCTTTTGCTGACGATACAAATTTATGGTCCTCAGTCCTCAGTCCTCACTCATCACTCCTCAGTCAGTGAGTCATCAGTGTCCTCAGTCACTCCCCAGCAGGGAGACAGGGACTGATGAGGGATACAATCTACAAATTTTCAAATACTACATACAATCTCCATGTTTGATTACTTGCCAAGTTACCAACCCACATCCAATCAAACTTTGAACCCATAACCTTCCCCACATAAATACAGTTGTATATCTATATAAATACATACAATCTTGGATTCTTCATTCTTCTTGAAAACATAGAGTTCAGACTTCAGAAGTTCAGAAGTTCAGAGATATAGCCGCTAGCAGAATAATGTAAATACTAATAAAAGTACTTTCTTCAATCTATCAACTGCTCTCACACAAGAGTATTTATGTAAATTCAACGATTGATTTAAATGCACATATCTGTATTTAACAATGGCATAACAAACTCATTGAATGGTAGAATCTACTGCTTATAAGCAACATACAAGTGCTCGACATTTTTTAACGAAGTGATACTGATACATAATCACAGATTCTATTCCGTAAAAGTCAAATGATACTGTAATGAAGATATATGCCAGAACGTAGCAAGTGTGGGGTATTACAAGATCGGGAGAAAAAAAAGTAGCTATTGGAGAGTATGCTAGTTATGTCTCACCTAGGAAACGAACCGAATATCGAACACAATTTCATGATGGTACAACAACGCAACATTTCTCTTTTTTTCGAAGTTATCGCGGCAACAAACATGAATTTTAATATGAGAACGTATTCACATTATTTATGGAATATCAATTTAAAAATACATACCAGTTATGTAAGTCTATTCTATAGAGAAAATGTACAAATATATTGTTTTTTAAAAGAAAATCGAAAAACTGTTTGCCCAACTCTGCTCAGTCTTGCAGATAAATAATTTTTAGTAAAAGCAGATTCCGTATTAATGCACACAGACGTTTTGCTTTTCAATTTTCGAACTCACATACCATACGCATGTAGCTATAGTTCCGAAAGATTATTTTTGCTATATTCATTGGGAACAAAGAAATACATACGCAGGTGACTATAGTATAGCGAGTAGATAAATTCTGAAAGCAATCCTGTGCTTTGTTCAATGGTGACGATGATATACAATAATTAGTGTCGCTTAGTGTATACGTATCAGAAAGCTTGAAATAAAAGACTACAGTTTGGTCTTTATTATATATTCATGGTTGGCTTGGTTGCTGGCAATCTATTGAATTATTTACTCGACCACCGGCAGTTCAGTCTATCTCAAATTGATCAAATTTCCTAGAGGGCTACGGTTTGTTAGTCCGCCACGATTGCCCTAGCACAAGAAGGGTAGGAACAAAATGAGGTGAATGCATAGAAATACAAACGAGAAGGTTAGACGCATGTGGGCTGGTCTGAAGAGCCCTTGTATTGATAATACTTCATTCCCTTCACTATAAGAGAAAAACCAGAGACTATATAACATACTGCATCGAGCACTACTGAAGCCCATGATAGTACAATCATGTATTTATTTGCTTCCGTACAAACACGTACAATATATGTACATTCAAAATCGCAGCATTGCACAGCATACTCGCAACCTCACACGAATACTAATATGCTCGCAGACACACCCTTGAGCATGTTCTCGCAGGATTAAAAAGTACACTCATACACTTATAAGCACACATACAAACACGTGCGTTGTACACTCATACATACGCAGAACACACATAGCCTAGCATGCTCTCAACCAGACACGTATACGTGTGTACTCTAGTCCACACACACACACACATAGCAGTGCACAAACACACACATAGTAGCTCGCACACACACCCTGACCATGGCGGACTTCAATTTTCCCGCAGGCTTTTCACCACCGCGTAATGGGCCGCTTGCACGGGCCTGCCTTACTAAATCACTTTCTGTGACCTCTGAGCCCTCTCTCACTTGTTCATTGACATTCGCCTCTATAGTACTTCGGGTGCCAGAGTTCGTCTGAGTATCCGTGTGTGTATGTGTGTTGGTAGTAGTATTCCTCCTATTGTCGTCTGAGGGCTCGGAATGTGTGGCCGCGGATGTTGTCACGGTAACAAGGGAGGGATTTTTGTTCTCAGTATTCTCGGCGCTGGCTCGCTTTTGCTTGACCTTGCTTGTGGGGCTCTTGGGAGCTGTCCCAAAAGTATGCTCCATGCCCCTTCTAAGTTTCTTATTGAGCGGAGGTTCTACGTACGACTTCCGTTTCGCGGCACTACGTCGCGGTCTGAACAGAGAGCCACAGGAAGGGATGAACAATAGTATATATGAATCCAAAAAAGAAATGCTAAATAGGCGTGTGTACAGATAAATACACGGGTATATTTAGACAAGGATGTGGATATATATATACATAAATATACTGTATATATATACATACATACATACATACACACACACATACATACATACATAAACACATGCATAAATACGTACATAGATACGTACATACATACACACCGACGCAGACACAAGACACAAGAAACAGACACAGACACAAATATATATAAATAAATAAAGAAGCAAAAATGCCAACACTTAGAATACGGATGGGTTGTATTAATGTATTCAATAATATATATATATTATACATGTATATATAACAATAACTATAACTTATATATATATTTATATATATATATATGCATACATATATATATATATATATACATCTACATCAACCTATACTTTAACATACATACATACATACATACATACATACAGATATATATATAATAAAGACACACACACACACACATATATATATATATATATATATATTAGAGATATATATAATAAAGACACACATAATAGAAATATATAATTATGAAGACAATTGATATTCCAATCTTTTCAGAACATGTATCAATATAAATGGTCAATAATAATTGAGAACGATTCATTGTTATCCAACTAACAAACCTGCGTTTGCCATCGTCTTCGTCCTCGACTAATGTTGGTCTGGCTGGAGGCGGCGTCTCCCTCCGAAGTCTATGAGTCGTCTACTTGGAAGTAAAACCATATGGTATATTGTAAGCTTTGGAAGAAATGATAACACTTAAAAATAGTGAGTCTTGTTGCAGGTTTAGGAAAGTAAAACACTCGTAAAGCCACGACATTGACATAATACAGTACGGTCGTATGCAAAGGTGTACATATTTTCATATAAACAGGAACAAGCACAGGTTTCAAGCTAAAATAAAACTACTGATAAGTCTTTGTACAATAATTTCGTATACTATACACATACATACTCACACACGCACACACACATACTCGTACATACACGCAGAAAAATAGTACAAACAACACACGAACACATACACAAATATAAACAAATCACAGACAAACACAACGTACACGGACACACACACACACACACATATATATATATAAATACATGTACATATATACATACATACATACGTACTTATATATACATATACATATATATTTATATATATATACATATATATATATATATATAATACATATATACATACATACATACGTACTTATATATACATATACATATATATTTATATATATATATATACATACATATATATATATATATATATATCACATGGATATGTATTGTATATTCTTGCTTTAATGTACTAGGTGATGGCGAAGTCAATCTTTCAATGTACATGAGGGTTATAGACGTTCTACTCATTGAACATGTCTTTGAGTGTTATGGAGGCCCTACTACATATGCACTTTGAACATGCCTCTGAGTGTTACAGACGGTGTAGTACGGATGCACATTGAAACTGATCCTAGATCTTGTTATAGAAACTCTACTACAAGTGTACTACGATTGCGCCAGGCTTGTTGCGGACACTGGAAGTAACTGGAAGTCCACGCACAATGTCTTACCTTGCCAATGTTGCTCAGAACTCGACTGCTTCTGCTGCTGTGGTCTTTATGCGGTGCCACAGAAGCGTTGCCTTTGCAGTACAAAAACAGCGTGAAAATAGTTAACGAAAATATACTCGACTCGATTCTGATATGTGAAGGCACCCCTCAAAGCAGTGTCTGACTGTATGCACCCTATAGGAACGAAAATAAACTCAACTCGATTCTGATATGTGAAGGCACCCCTCAAAGCAGTATCTGACTGTATGCACCCTATAGGTATCGGTACACATCAAACCAAAGCATTATACCGCAAAAGCTCCAACGTTCGACCTACCCGAGATCGCCTGCTGCTGGGCCAGACGCTGCTTGAGTGTCAACGTTGAGTAGGCGTCGACGTCCATTGACTCGGTGTCAGGCACAGTCACGCTGGTACTGGTCTTGGGCTCCTCTCGTCCACGGTCGCTACCTCGTTCATCCTCGTCATTGGTAGTCAGGTCACTGCCCGCATTGTTTCCTGCTTCAACTATATCCGCAGCCGCCGGAATCACATTTTGGTTCTCGATAGCGAGTTTCACCGTCTCATTTTCGACCTTCTTTGTCGTATGGACAGCCTCCTCATCGCCAGCCATACCGTTCATGCCTGTCGTATGATTCTCATTCCCGGATTTTTCTACTCCAGTCTCCGCGTTCTTGCCGGTCGTATCCCCTGCGATTGTATTGCTGTTCTCCTGCCCGCCCTTGTTCCTCTCCTCACGTATCGTATTGTCCGTCTCGTTGGTCGTATTCTCTCCAGTATTTGTCGTATTTTTATTTTTCTTCTCCCCTTCGGTCCGAGCCTTGTCCTTATCCTTCCGGATCTTCTCCTCTTCCTTTTTCTTGTGCGCTCGCTCTCGTTCTTTCTCCTTCTCACTCTCGACGCCGCTCTCGCTATCACTCACAATCACATTCGCTCGCCGTGCGTTCTCTATCGCAGAGTCCATCACGCCCTTGTACTCGTGCACCCTGCTGTTATGTACAGTCCTGCGCCCATTCCTACCATGTCTGACATGGTCACCTTCCGCATGCTTCTCGTGGTCACTTTCCGGATGCTTATCATGATCAGCCGTAGAGTGACCCGTGCCTATACTAACAGACCCATTCACAGTCACTGCATCAGCCCCATCCGCATGCGCATCGAGTTCCACTGCGGTGTGTACAGGTTCAGACTCCTTTCTCTCGTCAGTCTCCATGGCAACGGCAGCGTCAAAGCGATCTGATTGGCTGAGAGCTCTACTTCCCGACAGGCCTCGACCACTGAAATCACCGCTTTGCCGTCGTCTCGGCCGCTCTCTCTTCGCGCCCAATCGCCCCAGACTCCCACAACTCCTGCGTCTGCGGGTCGCATTCCACGAGTCCAAGCTCTTGCGCTTAGCCTCCAGGCTTTCCTTGAGCACCGCATTCTTGCTCGCTTCCTGTTCTCTGTATGCATACCTGTCTCGCTCCGCGTGTCTGTCGTGAAACTCGTCCTCCTCCGCATCGCTGCTAGGCAACGGATCGCTCAGCTTGCGCTCCACGGTCGCCTCTGAGCCAGCCCCCAGATTATGCCCCTTGGAGCTCAGCCCTGCTCCCGCACTACTACGGCTGTACTCCGCGTGCTCCGCTGTACTCCATCGGTCGCCCCTGTCACGCATACACGAGTTCTCACTCTTCATGTTCTCGCTCATAGCGCTTATGCGCTTGTCGTTCAACGGGCCCTTCTTCTTTGCGCGCCGCATCATATCGTCCATCTCCCCATCGCAGTCGCCACTCACACTCTCATTGCTATCGCAGCTGCTACCGCTATCGCTGTCGTTGTGTCCGTCGATGTCCCGGCTGTAGGCCTCGTAGTCACTGTCCTCGCGCATCTCCTCGCTCCCATACAACGCGGCATTACCACCGTGCAGCGAACCATGCAGAGGCATGTCCATATTTGTATCTGCCTCCAGATGATCGTGCTCTCTGTGTACACGTGCCTGGGTCTGTTCATGCTCGCTCGGCCTGGGGGATGACACTGAAATGGCCTGCGAAAACACAAACGAGTCGTCGTTTCGCGTCTTACGAGTGGCACCGCTAGACCCCTCGCCGCTGCACAAACGCACATTTGATTTGATACTGTTAGCCCTCAGAATTTTTGGTCTGGGGTGGTGTGTGGTATGATGTGGTATGGTATGAAAGTAAATATCGTGGCCAAAATATAACGAATATTAATACGTTTCCGCTGAAATATAGACGTTCATGAATGTACTTCGTACTCTCAATGACCAAGTTTGTACTTGTGCGAGAGATGTGGGAGTGGCAAACGCGCCTGTCACCCCTGCATGCTCACGTATGCCGCGACACACTTGTGGTCAACACAGTCGTTTCCCGAAAGTACACACTAGCATATACTTCTGTGTACAAACATAGACATATAAAAAAAACTCCTATTCATATATTTTAATATAAACACACATAAAGACACAAAACAGTCTCATATGTAGACACAAAGAAACAATCTCATATCCTGGAGACATACCTGTACGCTTGTACGAGCGGTGCGTGGGTAGCAGATGAGATCGGCACCTGTATGTTCGCGCCTGCTGCGATATGCTGATCATCGTAGTAGTCGTCTCCCGGAAGGTCGGTGAGATGGTCATCAGCCTCATTCTCACTCAGCGTCATACTGCAAGTTCCAAGAAAAATAAGTAGCTGAGATGAATATGAATCAAACTGAATGCACTTAGTGCATGGCCTGGGGAGGGAATGAAACATACGGAACATGTACAATCGACATAAGCGACGGAAAAGAGTAGAGGCACAGAGTGCATGGCTTGGGAGAGAAGACAGTATTGACACACTTAGCATGTTCAATGTTTGGGGGAGAGATAAAGGAAAGCGTAGGAATGCTAGGAGACATCCGTGTACAATATGTATATGTATAGGTATATGTTTATATATACATATAATATATATATATATATATAAATATATATATGTGCGTGTGTGTGCGTGTGTGTTGTATATATATATATATATATATGTGTGTGTGCGTGTTAAAGTTGAGTACCTTGTCTCGACGAACGCCTTACTTAGCCGTTGGTGAGGCCTGGTATCGTACTTGAGACGATCATGACGCAAAACTGCCGTGGGAGCTGGGTCTTCTATGAGGTCGCGTCAGGAGTAAAAAAGAACAAGATAAGTAAGAGAAAAAGGTGTTTGTGCTTTCTTTTTCGTACTTTGTGAGACGTGGTCCTGTTTCAAAGCGTAGGTGTATAAAGTGACGTATCGATACATCATGCTAGATATATACGTATGTATATGTAATTTCCTGTCTGTTTATGCGATGTACAGACTTGATTGTCTTTACATCCGTTTTGGCTTATAGTAGTTTATTTGTATGTGTATATGCGAATGTTAAAATGAATGTGTAATTTGCATTCGCCCCTCCATACTTTCGCCCTATTCAGTAGCATACACAACACAACGATACACACCACACGTTCATATGGAAACGCGCCTTCCCCAAATTAATAGTTTATGCAGTATACCACATCACATAATAGTTTTCACTACGCGTATATTCACAACAAAAACAAGGGATCTGTACCTGGTTGTTCCTCGATATCAGCCGACAAACCCCGTTCAATCATCGCAAGCACAGACTGCAGGTGTGTCTCGGTCATGGACAGACACCGCTTCGTCAGCAGGCCGCTTGCCTATTCGATGAGAGATATTCATCAGTTAGCATTAAATGATTCATCAACGACCAAGGATATTTAGTGATAGGTGAAGTAGGCGATGCCTTTGTGTATCCGCTGTATACCCGTAAGTCCATAAATAGAAACAGAATATATATATATATATATTTATACATATATATATATTATAATATATATATAATGCAATGGTACGATCGAATGTACGTACGTCTACGGGAGAATATGCGCGAGACTATGTGCTATATTGCCAACTACCTGCTGTCATCTGGTATGCTATCAAACCGAATAAAACCGAGCACGGGTGCATCTCAGGAATGAAACGTGTGGCAGCGACTGTACAAGCTACAGGCAAAAAGTATACTTTAAATGGAAGCACACCAGAAGTGTAGTATCGTATACACATGTGCAAAGGCTGGTTAGTACGCTTTCAAGTATAAGGCACAAACATACTTGTAAGCATTCGTTCTTATCCTCGGTACGTTTCCGTGCTATTTTCAATGCATTGTTTTCCCGTTGCAGATCCAAAACACGATCGCGCGTTTTGATCAGGTGATCTTCGGTCAATCTAAGTTTCTGCTTGACTCGGCCCAATGCTATGCTTAACTGGTAATTCTGGTTTGCATACTGCTCCAATCCTGCAAAAAAAAAGTATATCAATATCAAAATCGATAAGAAAATGAAATCAGAATACATGGCTGACCCTGGTATAGTGTAAATAATAACCCAGGGGTCAGCTACGGAATTAGACATAAGAATTCAACGCAAGGTTTCGACCTACAGACCAAGACCATATGGGATTACGCGGTGACAACAAGCGGCATGGACAAGAATCACTATTGACATGCTAAGAAAGATCTGTCCATGCATCGCACTATAGTGCTATGCAAGGACCAAACATGACTAAGCGTACACATGAAGATATACATATATACCTTTATATATATACATATATATATATATATAATATATATATATGTTATATATATATATATATATATATATATAA